GGGGGAGACCAAATATATTTCTTATTATACCTCAATAACATTTAGTAATATTTGATTTTTGAACCCTGCAAATATAGTAGGTATAAAAATTTAAAATTAAATTTGAAATTATGCAACTGAATACTGATATGTTTCCTTCTGTTTTGTCTAGTATCTTAATGTACCATAAGAGAAAACCAAACCCAAAAGGGACCTCATGCTTACTCAATACTACAGTACCATACAAGTAAATCTTTATTTTTATTTTTTTTGGTCATGTCTGAAACCCTTGCACAACATCTGTCATGCCATTTCCAATTGAGAAAATAACACCTATTTTAAAAATTCAAGCAGCACCTTATTGGTTGTCATTCCCTTGCATCCACAACTTATCACCAAGGCATTGTCTGCCCCAAGTTGCATAATGGTGCATCCTTGACTAATTTCAAGATAGCACTAGCTACCTATAGCTACCATTTTAGAAAGAGTAAGTTTCCCCTACATGGGGCTAAAACTAGGGCTAGGCCATTTGCTCTTAATGTTCTAACACCTTGACTAGAAGACGACCATGATCAAACATAAAAAGATGGTGAAAAAGCCATGTAATGGCTGCAACAAATTAAAATGTGGCAATTGTTGCCCCCAAATTCCCCCAAAAGTATCTGAGGCAATTGCTGCTAAAAGACTGTGAAGAAGATTCTGGAGGCCACAGGACTGTCAATAAAACATTCAAATAAATAAGCCCAAAAAAGTCAATAAAATGGTGGTCAAAGTAGGCAAGAGCAAGAAATAGGACTAAAAAGCCAAGTGTCATTTAGGAAGCAATTATCTCATCACAGAAAACTCAAAGCCCTCTTAGGCCTAACCTTCATGTACATATTAAATATGGGAATGACCGGTGAGGTGTGGCAGATTATATTTGCCAAAGTTTACTTGTATTTCAAAAAGGAATCAACTTCTAAAACAATGGAATGCTTTAATTCACTCAACAAATATTTGCTCAGTGCCTACTCTGGGGATATGCTGGTGAGCAAAACAGAAACTTTGGCTCGGGCCATGGAGTTTAGGTGCTAGAGGTAAAGCCAAATATCAATCAAACAACATTAGCATATGTGCAATTGCAAACTGAGATAAATAAGTGCTCCAAAAAGAAGGAGAATCATTCTATGAGAGTTTATATCAAAGAACCTGATCAAGGAATTACCCTTGAAGAAATAAGCATTAAACTGAGATCTGAAGGATGAGTTGGTTTGAATGGTCTGAGCTTTAACCAGGATTTTTACCAGAAGGTTGGTATGTTAGTTTGCTAGGGCTGCCATAACAAAGTCCCAAACTGGGTAGCTTATATAATGGAAATTTATTGTCTCACAATTTTTAGGTCTAGAAGTCTGAAATTAAGGCGTCAGTAAGATTGGTTTCTTCTGAGAGTGGTGAGGGACAATCTGTCCCATACCTCTCCTCCAGATTCTTCTGGTGGTTTGCTGGCAATCTTCTGTGTTTCTTGGCTTGTAGATCTCTGCCTTTATCTTCGTATGGTATCCTGTGTGTGTGTGTTTTTGAATCTAAATTTTCTCTTTGTATAAAGACACCAGTCATATTGAATGTCATTTTAAATTATATCTGCAATGACCTTCCCAAAGATGATCGCATTTTGAGATACTTGAGGCTAGGGCTTCAACATATGTATTTTGGGAGTACACAATTCAACCCATAACAGTTGGGGAAGAGACAATGGGAAGTAAGGAGTGTCACAAATTCACTTCCTGGCTTTCTGATAGGACTGCATTTATACCAAGAAGGATCCAGAAACTTATCTAAGAAGAAACTGGGGCTATCGGGCATTGGTTAATTACGTAGTAGAAATACCGGGGAACACAGTGGAAAGTTTGGGAGGTGGGAGAGGTTTGGGTTAAGGGCAAAGAGGTATTAAGCATTATGGGGAATGAAAGGGAGGGAGAGGGGACTGAGCAGGAGTACTTACTTTTACAGAGATCTCTTACTGATGAAAGCAGGAATGAGAATCCGGGTGGCTTTAATTTCAGCTGCCTTTTTGAGAAAGGTCAAGGACCTAGAAACTACCCAGTCAAGAGCAAAGTCAGACTTAATGGGCGTAGTCTATGCTCTCCTGGACAGGACTAGCATCAGACACTGGCTCCACCGCTCACTAGATGCATGTGCTTGGGCCAGTTACAGCGTCTCTCAAAGCCTCAGCTCCCTCATGTATAAAATGAGTAGAGTAATGGCAGTTAGGTAAGGGAGCTTGTGCAGTCCATCTCTGCGTCGCTATTGAAGGCCTGGAGGGTTCTCATGCCCTCAGCAAATTTGTGTGATCCCTCAGATTCTCCATTTCCTGATTTTAAAGATGGAATAGCAATGCCTTATAGGGGGTTGCAGCAATTCATTGAGATATTGTTTATGAAAGTGATTGGAAAAATCAAAGGTAATGCTAATTTTCCTCAGTGACATTGAGCCAGGATTGTGTTCTGTAACTTTGTCTAAATGCACCATGAGGTGGGGCATGAAGAAGGGATCCCCCACTCTATTCTACTTTTCTCCCCTTTACAGATTAAATTGGGTTAATCTTGAGTGCCGATTTATCTCCCTTAATCCACTGGGTCCTTGTAAGAGATTATCCCTGTTAGTGTCCTCACCCCAGTTTATGGGAGAGAAATCTTGTCCTGATTTTCCCTGATGGCCACAAAAGTCAAATCCTCATTCTCTTTAGCTTGCTCTAAAAACTTATATCCAGTCGGTGCTCCCATTTTATTCGCCAGAGATTCTGAATGTCTTAGGTTGGTCTTGGATGAGTGTTTGGCTTTGGGGCTCATCTCTGAAAAGCCAGTCCCTGGTGTACCTATTTCCTCTCTGGGGCCTGGCGACAAAAAGCACTGAACTAGGCCGCGTAGTAAGCTGCACGGTGTCTGCCGGGAAGACAGGCCCGAGGCCGAACCCCCAGCGCCTGGGAGGGTGACACTTATTTTAAAATAGGGTCTGTGCAGATGCAGTTAAATGAAGGACCTCAGCGTGAGCTCATTCTGGATGTAGAGCGGGCTCTAAATCCGATGACCGGTGTGCTTACAAAAGGAAGGAGCGGGAGGGTTGCGGGCGCAGAGGCGCGGAGGAGAGCGGCGCGGAGATGGGAGCGGGGGCGCAGGGGG